ATACATGCACACCCCCCCCCCCCATTAAATATATACTTGGTTATGTCTAAAGCTTACTAACATTTTCTTGAAATGTGTCTACATTCTAAAAGCTGTTAAATATTTGACTAAGTGGGCAGCACATGGCTACAAGAGTCCTGTGTTATGTCAAAGCCTGTAATGACAATATTACCACATTGAAAACAATTATCCCAGGCCATCAAATTGCACACCCTCAATAGAAATAATTTGTTCAACCTGGATCAACCATCTCTGCTCAAATTTCCTAAATCACCTTTATCATGGTCAAATGAGAGGTTTTGCTCTCTCTCACACTCTAAACCTGGAGCTCAGCCAGAGGACTGTCTACAGGTGAACTGAACACAGTAGATAACATTACATAGACAGCAACATAAAGAATGTGTGATGACAGTAATTGCTTAAGCTTTGAGGAGGTGAATGAGTGCCAGAGGTAATGATGGCCACACAAGAACTCCCTTTTTTCACCAGAACACAGTTTCAGGTCTGTGTTAACATCTACTATATCTTAGACATTTAAATGGACATTCAAATGTAATTGAGCACTCACAATCTCACTTACTAGTCTATATTTTACTAGTCCATTAGGAAGCCATTATGAAAATATGCTCACATTTCAGCTAAATTATGAATAATTGCTGTTTTATTGCTTAGTTCAAGCTGTGATTTGTCAAAGTACACTGAAGGACTGTTTTAAATGGTAACTTTTCTCTGAAAAAAAATATAATTTGAAAGTTTAAAATGACTCTTGTAATTAGTATGTATTCCCATCCCTTGTGAAAAAGAAGTGTGCTTAATTGTGGTAAACATGCATTTGTAGTGTACTTTTAAAGTATATAAAAAACTATAATATATATAATATTAATTTTGATAAAATAAAATAAAATAAAGACCACTTCATGTATTTAAAGAGAGAACACTTTAATAACTATCTATTCTACCTTTCATTGCAAAAACACTTGAACGAGTTGTGTTCAACCAAGTCTCAGCCTTTCTCTCACAGAACAACCTCCTGGACAGCAACCAATCTGGCTTCAGAAGTGGACATTCGACCGAGCCTGCCTTGCTTTCAGTTGTTGAAGCCCTAAGACGTTAGGCTAACCGAGACTTGTCATTTGCACTTATATATTGTTGCTAATTTGTTAGTTTTGACTGCTTTTATTGTACTCATTTGTAAGTCGCTTTAGATAAAAGCGTCTGCTAAATACCTAAATAAATAAATAACTATTTTTATTTACTCACTTAAGTACACAAAAGTGCACTTTGTAGTAATGTCAAATCAAAAGTTCTACTTTAAAATGAATTTTAAATCATTGTTTTAATAATCTTTTGTTGTGCTTTACAGAAGTACACTTATTTTTAATGTGTTGACTAACATAAGCACATGGAAAGTACTTTTTGCGTAATTTTGCTTAATTTACTTTTGTTACTTTAGTAAATCCATGTAACATCCTTAACGATTAAAGATTAAAATAAAGGTGTACCGTAAAGTTAATAGATTTTTAATGTATTAAATTGCAACTTCATCATTACAAATTAAAACAACATTTAAGTACAGGTTTCATTACAAAGTACATTAAAGTATATTTTAGTTAAATGCCTGTCATACATTTGGCATCACACTGTATAAAAAAATAACTTTGCTGTTTGAATATTTTTGAAAATGTAATTTTAATTTCCCGTGATTACTCCAGTCTTCAGTGTCACATGATCCTTCAGAAATCATTCTTATATGCTGATTTCTGAAGGTTCAGATATTTTGAAGAATGTATGCTGCTTCCCCATTGTCTTCCATACAATTTTTTTCCATACTACGGAAGATAATGGGGACCAGCAACTGTTTGGTTACCCACATTCTTCAAAAATCTTATTTTATGTTCAACAGAGGAAAGAAACTCATACAGGTTTGTAACAATAGGTTGCCTTCTCAGTTAAATAACCGAGTTGTTTGTTTCAGGAGGGAATTTCTGTGCTGGTTTTGATCTGAAGGAGTTGGCCCAGAGCTCTGGTTCTCTCAAACTGGAGGAAGATGTCTCCTGTTGTCCTGGTCCCATGGTACGGAGTGGTCCTTCTTAGATGCAGTATTGCACAGTACTACTAGAGAAGTCATTTAATACATTACTTTTAAGTCTTCTATAATGTTATAAACATTTCTTGTACCAAAAATAGTTTTCATGACCATTTCTATGACCCTTCATGCATTAACATACACATTAACAGCCATTAATTAAAATTAAAATGTCTACCAAAATGTTCATAATGAAACAAACATTGCAGTCATTGCAACAATTTTTTTCCCACGTTCTGAAGCATGTATGAAATCAGTCCAATAGAGAAGTGAGACGTCACGAGCGGGGTGACGTGAGCAACCAGGAAGTATAAAAGCACATCCGGCCAACGCACATGTTAGCTTCTGCGGAAGCGAGCGCCTGCAGGGATGCAGGGAGTATGGCAGAAAGACGCAGCATCTTGTTCCCTTCAGGGAACCATGGTTACATACGTAGCCTGGAGATGTTCCCCTTCAGGAACTCGAGCTGCGGCGAAACGCTTTGGGAACAAGAATACCCACTGCACCATACGAGCAAGTCCCTGTCAAGTGTGTATCTGGTGAGCACATCAAGACGAGAGAACTTGGGACCCTGGAGAAGATGTCAGCTCCAACTTGTAAAAACGGACAAATGTGTGCGGAGAGGACCAGCCCGCCGCAGCACAAATATCTTGAAGGGCCACGCCCACTGATAAGGCCTTGGAGGCCACCATACTCCTAGTCGAGTGCGCTCTGACCCCGATGGCTGTCTGGAGGCCAGAGGACTCGTAGGCCAGTGTGATGGTCTCAACCACCCATCTACTCACAGTTTGCTTGGTCGCTGGAGCCCCTTTCTTAGGTGGACCAAAGCAAACAAATAACTGATCTGCCTTATGCCACTGGGCAGCTCTGTGAACATAAGTGTGCTCGCACTGGACAAAGAAGATTGAGTCTTTCCTGGCCTGCTTCCTGGAAGGGAGGAGGACAAAAAGGCTTGCAGTACTACAGGACCCGGTGAAGAAATGGGCACCTTAGAGACACACCCGGGTCTCGGGTAAAGTAACGCCCTAACCATGCCCGGGGCAAACTCCAGGCACGATACAGCGAGTGCCTGAAGATCTCCTATATTCTTCAGCGAGGATATGGCGAGTAAGAAGATCGTCTTCAGCGTGAGGAGCTTGTCAGAGATATCTTCAATGGGTTCGAAAGGAGCACTGCACAAAGCCTCCAGAACCACCACCAGGTCCCATAAGGGCACCTTGGTGTGCTGTACTAGCCTCAGCCTCCGAGTGCCATGGAGGAAACGTGTAACTAACGGGTGTCTTCCCAATGACTGACCATCTAGAAGGGTGTAAGCAGCTATGGCCGCCACGTATACCTTCAGAGTGGAGAAGTGCTTCTGCAGAAACTCCAGAACTGTACCAACTGGGCAGTTAACTGGGTCTTGCAGTCGCTGTCCGCACCAAGAAGTGAAAAGTTTCCACTTCAAGGCATACAGTTTCCTCGTAGCGGGAGCTCTGGACTGGAGTATGGTCTCAACAACCTCAGTTGAGAGACCGGATGCTAGGAGCTGTGCCCCCTCAGGGGTCACGCCCACAGTTTCCATAACTCCAGGCGGGGGTGAAGGATGGTGCCCCCCGCCTGAGAGAGGAGATCCCTCCTAATCGGAATCTCCAGCGGAGAGCCGTCGAGGAGTGACACAAGGTCCGAGAACCATACTCGGGCCGGCCAGAACGGGGAAACTAACAGAAGATGGACCCCGTCCCGACATACTCCAGAACTCCAGAAAAGCATACAGACAGTTCCTCGACCACGTCTGCACCATGGCGTCCAGCCCAAGTGGATCTGGATGCGTGAGGGAGAACCAGAGTGGACAGTGTGTCGTTTCCTGCGAGGCAAATAGATCCACTTCTGCCTGGCCGAACTCCCTCCATAGGAGCTCCACCACCTCTGGGTGGAGCCTCCATTCCCCGGGCCTCAGCCCATGTCTAGACAGGATGTCTGCTTCCTGATTTAGGTGCCCAGGGATGTAGACTGCTCTGATTGAGAGGAGCTTTCCCTGAGCCCACAGGAGGATCTTGTGCGCCAGCCTGTAAAGGGGTGCGAGCGCAGACCCCCCCTGCTGGTTGATGTAGGAGACTACCGATGTGTTGTCTGTGTGGACAAGCACATGATGTCCCCTTTGGTCTGGAAGGAAGTGTTTTAGAGCTCGAAACACGGCCAGCAACCGAAACCGTTTGATAGCGCGGTTCAAAAGACGTAGATCTATGATTGGACACAACCCTCCATCCTTCTTCAGAACGATTAAGTAACAGCTGTAGAACCCTGACTCTCTCGAGAGAGGAGGGACACGTTCTAAGGCCTCCTTTCTCAAGAGAGTGTCTACTTCCTGTTCCAATACCAGAGACTGCTCGGGGCTTACTTATGTAGGAATGATCCCGTTGAAGTGAATTGGTAGAGAACCGAACTGAATTCTGTAACCTCTCTCTACAGTGTGCAGGACCAATTGTGAGACATTTGGCAGATGTTTCCACGCTGTCAGAAAGTCTACTAAGGGAACCAGTCTCTCGAGACTGGCCTCTGGTGTCGCTAGAGGAGCCACTTCGGTGCCCTTGAGTGGATGACCGGCAGAGAACGACTGACCTGACTGCTCTAGCGCCCTCACTTGAAGGGACGAGTTTTTCTGTGCCGTACCGTCGCCGGGCGGCAGCTGGGAAGTTCGATTGTCGGAGCTCACTGAGCCCTGAAGTACTGGGGTTGGCAGGGGTATCAGTGAAACTCCCTGAGGGCACTGAGGAGGATTGGGCACCGTATACCGAGGTGTGTACCTCTCCTCCCCAGGGTGGGCTGACCTTGGAGTCCTGACGATGGAATTGTCAGGGCCGCTTGTCCGAGGTCCTCTTCGACAGAATAACGGTCCACAGATCCGCTTTCTGTTTAGAAGACCCCGACCGAGAGCGCCATCCTGCCCCCTGCTCTCTCTGCGAGGGGTACAGGTCGCAACGTTCTGTTTCTGGGTCTGGCGATATAAGGAGATGGACGGCTGGGACTGCTCCCACTCAGCAGTCCCAAAGACCTAGGAGCAGCGAGGGAGGAAGCGCTGAAATGCCACCACCTGCTTCTTTGCCTCCCGAAACCTCTCAACGACAGTATCTACTGTGCCGCCGAAGAGGTCAGAAGGCAATAGAGGGGCATCCAGCAGGAAGAATCTGTTCTTATCTTGTAGCTCAGACAGATTCAACCACAGGTGCCGCTCCGTGGCCACCAATGCTGCCATTGAATGGCCAATGGCTCTGGCCTTTTCTTTGGTGGCCTGAAGCGGCAGGTCTGTGGCCCGACGTAGTTCGGCTACTACGTCGAATTCCTCTTCCTCCCTTTTATCCAGGTCTTTTAGCAGGTCGGCCTGGTACACCTGCAACACCGTCATAGTGTGCAGACACGCACCGGCCTGACCTGCTGCCGTATAAGCTTTCTCAACCAGGCTGGGTGTCAGCCTTACTGGCCTGGTGGGAAGCTTTGGGGCCTTCAGGGACAATGCTGAGGACGGGGATAGCTCGCAAGCGTCTGCTCTACCGCCGGCATCGCCCCTTATCCCTTCTCATCAGTGGTGTAACGTAATGAAGTAATAATACTTTGTTACAGTACTTAAGTATTTTTTGAGAGTATCTATACTTTACTTGAATTTTTATATTTCAGCCAACTTTTACATTTACTCCACTACATTTCCTAATTAAAAGGTATACTTTTACCCCGATACATTTCCCCAAAGCATATTCGTTACTTACTACAAAATAGTCAGAAGTTAAATAAATTTCCAACGAAAATAGTTCCAAACAAAGATCACAGCACTGTTTTGCGTCTCTGAGCAAT